CTCTCTCTCTCTCTCTCTCTCTCTCTCTCTCTCACTCACTCTCTCTGCCTTTCTTTCTTTCTTTCTCTACCTCTCTTTGTCTTTCTCTACCTCTCTTTATCTTCATCTGCCTATTTATCTTTATTATTTCTTGCAATCGGCTTATCAGCAGGGAATTCCTCCTACCCTGGAGCCATGAATTCTCTTGAGTATCGGTAAGGTTGTGTATATTGTTCATCCGCATATGTGTTTATGTGTGAGAATATAAGTGAACGGGTGTGTGTGTGTGTGTGTGTGTGTGTGTGTGTGTGTGTGTGTGTGTGTGTGTGTGTGAGAGAGAGAGAGAGAGAGAGAGAGAGAGTGTTTATTTGTGTGCAAGCACATATGTATAAAGGTGTACTTGCGTGAGTTTGGGTGCACACATAGCTCTATGCGCGCGTCGTGTACATGCATGCAGGGAGAGTAAGTAATGAGCTTGATCCTGTCAATGGCTCCATCCGTAAGGCGGAAGTGTCACAGCCGAGGAAAGCCTGGCTCCAGATCCGGCCTGTGCGGCAGGCAGGGGCTTGTCTCTCAGTCTGTCTATCTGTCTGTCTGCCTGTCCGTCTATCTGTTCGTGTGCCTGTCCGTCTACCCTTCCATCAGCTGGTGTGGTGGCATCGGAACGCGCAGATCTTCGGAATGCCGACCAAGCGCCTTCTAGCACCCTTGACTCCTTTCCTCGCCAATCATACAGTACAAAATACTGCAGCCTTAAGCCGCTTACACACTTACACGCTTATTCGACTAGTTTGGTGGTCAAGAACAACTGCGGCGTAAGGTCGGAACGGCCTGTTGATGAACTTATTAAACAGAAATCAGCAATGAAAAAAAACGTTGAGATCTTCATGATATCACATCTGAAGCGACGGGTAAAGAAGACAATATATAGAAGTAACAATTATTCAAAATTAAATAGCTGTGTGGCAAAAGATAACTTCACTCTAAAGCTGAAACTCATTACAATTTTAAAATGTCAGAGAAGATGGTGGTATTATTAGTAGTAGTAGTAGTAGTAGTAGCAGTAGTAGTAGCAGTAGTATTATTATTAGTATTATTATTATTCTCATATCTTAGTAGGCCTAGTAGTTATAGAAAACGATGCCATTTTTTCTTGCCATGCGCATTCGGCGAAATCGGAAGAACGTCAGATCAGTGGCTTCTTACCTTAACGTGGAGGAAATGTGAGGGGGAGGAGATTTAAGGGATGCACCAGGCAGTGAGACATTGAGGGAGGAGCAGGGGATAGAGACACAGGAAAATAATGAGGAGGAAGAGAGCACGAGAGACAGGGGGGGGGGAGAGAGAGAGAGGGGGGGGGGGGAGGGGGGGGGGGGGGGGGCGCCGCAGTGCAAGCGGTCTTATTTAGTTGCAATATATCTAATTAATGTTTGCTGATGATGTAAGGTTTGTTTAACGAAACCGTTGATATAGTGTAGTTCATCTATGAGGTGGGCTACTGGTTATTTATTGGTTGATTTTTTATTGGTTTCTTTACATGTTTCTGCCTCCTTCTCGTTCATTTCCTTTTTTTTCATTCATTATTTATGTACAATTTCATTATTTATCTATTAAATTGTTTGTGTATCCTATCTCTCTATATCTCTATCTATCTCTCTATATCTCTCTATCTATCTAATTCTCCTTTGTTCTTTTTATCAGTAACACTGGGTGCAAGAAACCCGGAGAGCGCAAACAAAATATAGAACAACAGGTCCAATTAGCGAACCAAAATCCCCGGTAGTGTAGATAAAAGGCGCTTAGCACCGATGACGCCAGCGAGACCAAATTTAAAATCATAGTCTGTGTCATCGAGAGATTTCTGACGTAAGAATCCTTGCAAGTGGTTCAGCAACGACGAGCGAACTGCCAATCTACAGTGCAGTGTCGGTACCAAATGCCCCCTGTTAATGCAGGGCAGACGAAGGAAGCCTTTGAAGCAGCCGCATCCCCGAAGAAATAAGTCCGTAACAAGATAGGCTTCCCCATTAATTAATTGTGGTCACAGCACCCTTTTTTTTCCAACCATCAGTATGACGCACCGGGTAGTATAAAAAGAGTGTTTTGAAGATATTGGGCGTGGAAACATTGGGTTTCAAGTAAGTTTTGTTTTGTAGGAAAGAAAATAAGACGTAGATTCGGGGAGCAATTTCACATATTTTTATGTCTTTCAAATGGCAGATGCTTCCGCTGGTGCTACATCCATTATACAGATAAATTACCGGGAGTCAGTCGTAAACATGCATGAATCAAAGACACTAACATAAGCGTGTCAGGCCGTATTTTTGTCTTGAGAGACCAGATGTAATACGATTAGTGTAGACACGGGATGGGATTTTGAAACATGCAGGGCACAGTCCGGTATTGTGGCGTAGTCGATCCTTGTCTTGGCTTACAAAAAAATAAAGAGTTCCAATATAAAAAGGCGCTCGGGCCTCGCATATCTTTCATCTTTTTAACACAGTTTCTTACAGATGAGTAAATTGATAATTTGAAGACACGAATTATCCATGTTTGGATGGGGGAGGGGGGTGTTTTTCTTTTTGAAGTCTTCTGTCCTGTCTAAAAAAAAAAACAAGCTGTGCAAAACAAGTAAAGAATTATAGAATTTCACAACAAGTATAATATCACAAATTTGTTCTAACACTTTCTTTTTTTTCCCTCTTCCCCACCCCCTTCCCCTTCCTCAATATGACTCCCCGCCCGCCCCGTCGACGTGAGCCAGGCCTCAATGCGACTGGCAGACGACGTACCACACCCAGCCCTGGATGTCCTTCGTCATGTTCCACAACCTGTTCATCATCACCACCCACATGATCGCCATGTGGCTCACCGTCTCCCTGGCCGTGTTCCGCTACATCTTCGTGTGCCGCCACACACTGGCCACCACCATGTGCTCCATGCAGCGGGCTCAGCTCACGGTGCTCGTGGTGTTCGTGGGCTCCGTGCTCTCCTGCATACCCTACTACTTCGTCTACCAGGTCAAGGACATACAGGAGGACCCGGCAGAACGGTCCTGCTACTGGGTCGTCCACTCGGACTTCGCCGCCTCCCACCCGCTCTACCTCAACTTCCTCTACTGGCTCTTCGGGGTGGTCATCAAAATCCTTCCGTGCGTCCTCCTCACCTATCTCTCCGCCCTTCTCATCTGCGCCATGCAGAAGGCGAAAAAACGGCGCGCCCGGCTGCTCAACAATATCTCCCGCGTCATTGACAGTGACAGCAGCTCTAACGAGCACAACCGCACCACGATGATGCTTGTAGCCGTCGTGCTGTGCTTCATCATCACCGAGCTGCCGCAGGGGATCGTGGCCTGGATCAGCGGAGTGGACGCCGAGTTCTTCAAGGAAGTCTACGTCCACCTAGGCGACCTCATGGATATCCTCGTGCTCATCAACAGCGCCTTCAACTTCATCCTCTACTGCATCATGTCCCAGCAGTTCAGGGACACGTTTAAGAGCCTGTTCGTGACCAAGCACCTCCCGCCTTTCTTTCACCGCGTCAAGCAGCACCCGAACGGCGCGGAGTACAGCATGGTCAAGACGGAGACCACGCACGTGTGAGGGGATGTGAGACAGACAGAGGGAGGAGGGGAGGTGGTGGAGGACGCTGTGAGGACGAGCGAGAACTAGATCCCGCGTATAAGCTCACATAATATGCCCGCATATACTCAATTCAAGCACACATACTCACACACAAACACATACACTTATCACAAGCGCAAGTACTCACTCTGACACACAAGAGCACACACGCACGCACACGCACGCGCGTACACGCACGCGCGCGCGCACACACACACACACACACACACACACACACACATGTATTCTTCAAAACTCTGGTGCACGCAACCAGGAGTCGAAGGGGGCAGGGTCGTGGGTTCGTAGAGAGGTCATTCAACGTTAGACCTATGTACATTCAGAGACTTATCCAGGACATGCAGGGAGTGGGAAAAATGAGGGAATCCACGCAATTCTACGCTCAACAAAACGGGAAGCTGGATGGTGAAGGCGCACGTGTATGTATGTGTGCGTGTGTGTGTGAGAGAGAGAGGTGAGTAGAGAGAGAGAGAGAGGTGGGTAGAGAGAGAGAGAGAGAGAGTGTGTGTGTGTGTGTGTGTGTGTGCGTGTGTGTGTGTGTGTGTTTGTGTGAGAGTGTGTGTGTGTGTGTTTGTGTGAGAGTGTGTGT